GGATTACACGCAGGAGAGAAGGAAGAGGAACTCTGCACCAAGTCCATTCTTTTGGATGTTACTATAAGTAAACCCAATTGCAAATCGAAGCATCGACAAGTCGATCCAAACGCCAGGATCCGCCCTCGAAGAATGAGCTGCAAGTAAGGCAATTCACCGTGCGGGAACTTTCAACCCGTCTAGATCTACCCTGCTTACTACTGCTTTTTCAACGAATGGTGGTCTTGGCAAAGTCACCAATCGACTCATCGTTGCTATCGCCAACCACTTGGCGCACGAAGATTTTTGCCGGGGGAATTTTGACGACGAAAGAGCCTTGGTTCGCCTGAAAGATTTTCACACGACAGGATTCGGAGACGGTTTACCTTCGAGCTAGCTCGTTTTCTGTCGGTGCGAACTCGCGATACGTTCAAACGTCATGAGCTACTAATCGACCAACTTCCACCACGGCCAATCGGTTGAGATCTCTGCGACAACAATAGTGATGAGGGTAATTATTTTGGGAGTGACGGAGACGAAGGAAAGGGAAAGGGAAGAAAGGAGGACGAAGACGACGATGGAGGAGGAATACATGTAGGAGTGGAAGAGAGCAAAGGGTTTGAGCCAGATGACCTTCCCCACAACAAAAGACGCAGGGCTAGGGAAGAACTGCCAAAAGATTGCTGTGAAAAGGACGATGAAAATGAGGTAGCGATAACAAGGAAGATAATGGTGAAAGCACCCCAAAACGAACTCGAGTGCAAGGTAACAGCCTTGGTAGGCGCGTGCAGTGTTCTTCTGTTGCTACCGTTTCTGTCTTTGATCTGGAGGATAGTTTAGCCTCCCCCATGCTGCCCCCTCACGGGGTCCCAGTTCATGGCAGATACAATGTTTAGTGTTTTCAACCGCACTAAGACTGACGTCTTTTCATTGGTCAGCCGGGTAGCGCGGTCGATGCTAATAGTAAACACACACACAAACGAACACATTTTTCAACAGCACTAAGACTGGCGTATTTTCATTGTTCAGCCGCTTAGCGCGGTCGATGCTTATAAACAAACACACACACAACACATACTTCTGGTACTACCGTTTCTGTCTTTGATCCCGAGAATAGTTTAGTCTGCCCCATGCTGCCCCCTCACGGGGTCCCAGATAATGGCATTTAGAAGTGTTCTTGGTTATCACCCGCACTGAGACTGACGTATTTTCGTTTTTCAGCCGGTTGGCGTGGTCGATGCTAATAATAAAGACGCACACACACACATACACACACCTCACGGGGTCCCAGTTCATGGCATTTAGAAGTGTTTTGTGTTTTCAACCGCCCTGAGACTGGTGTCTTTTCATTAGTCAGCCGGTTAGCGCGATCGATGCTACAGGAACAACGAAGACACATACACATCTGTTTCCCATCCTTTTATGCTCATTTGTGCGCTCGTTTTGCACTCTGCCAGGTGGCGGGGCTAGTGTTCTCGGTCGCGGTGCTGGCGCACTCGGCCAAGAACCAGACCGCTTGCGTGGAGGGTTTCGTAGCGATGGAAGGGCTGTACTGCCTCTTGCAGTTCCCCCTCTCGTGCTCGTTCGTGGCGTTTTCGCAGGGAAGGGCGGCGCGACAAGCCCCATCCAAGAAGGCGACGTGACACGGAACGGAAGGAGTACAATACCCCCCTGGCGCTTCGTCGTGTCGTTGCTGCAGCGGTGTTTCGTCATGGGGATAGGATTGTTTACATGTTGTTGATAGCAGTGCTTCGTGTTAGTTAGTGTCTTTCCCCCCCATGTAGCGATAGACCTACTCCCAAGGTAAGGACGGCGCGACAAGTCTCCCGTTGTCGAAGAGCAAGTGATTTGGCATGGCATGACCATCGGCTGTGCTGTTCGCGGAAAGCTAGCTTTCACAGAGGGCGTATGCTGGTTGCGTTCGTTGCCCTATCGGGACTCGCCAATGTCGAGGCTGCCACCTTTTTCGGTCACGTGCCGTTGTTTTTTCGTTTTTTTTTTGTTTTCGTGCGCTGTGTGTTGGTTGCTCCGCTGAGTGCATCCCGTGTCTTTCAACCCCCCAACAAGTTTTGTGTGTGTTTTTGCGAGGTTTCGCGCCGAACGTTGGGCTGGTTGGTTTCGACACCCGTTGGATGACTATGCGGCCGAGTGCAGTGTTAGCAGGGGATCCGCAGGCAACCCGTGATGTGTTCATGTGTGAAGAGCACGGCGAGCGTAGGCGTAGATGTGGTGTGCGGTTGCTAACGAGCAACTTCTCGAGAATCTATGAATACGTGGTGTATCATAGTAGGAGCCTGAAGAACCAACAGCAGCCCAGTCTGGGCTGTGCTGCTGATGAACTGCCATAGAACGGGACTTTTCTGATTAGAGTCACTTCAAGGGTGAGCATGTGGAATGTCCAATCAGGTTGTACCTGAGCTTGCAGCATCCTCGCCGCTTGCTTTGACCAGCACTTGTTCACGGTAGGCGTAGTTCGGGTTTGGAAGGTGCCTCCGGGTATTGTGTGAAATGGGAGGCGTTTTTTTTTTGTGTGTCGTGGAAACCTCTGATTGATACCCTTCGTGACTGGCTAGTGTTGGCATGTTTTGGATTCAGCGGATTTGACCCTCCTGTTTGGAAGAGCCTACTCAAATTAAGTTATAACCTGAACCACATGGTTTTCATGTTTCGGAAAACGCCTTCTTCACTTGCATCAAACCGATCGCCCCGGTGGTCCAGTTGCTGCTAACCTCGCACACGTTTTTGACTCTGGGTTGGGGATTCGAATCTCTCCGAAGTGATAACCTCGCAAGTTATGATCATTACGGCGCACAGTAACGGCCGCGGACGTTGTAGTAGCAGTGGCCGGCGATGAACGGCGGTGCGGGCGTCCCACGAGCAAGCGAAGTGTGTAGCAGTTTTAGTCTTCACTTATAGAAGCGGGGGATCTGAGTGAAAACCACACGTAGTCGCACTAGAAAGACGACAGGGACTGCTGATGCCTTTCCGACCCCGGGTGTCTGGTTGCATCAACCATGGTCTGAACCGTGTTGTGCAGACTGGCGCCTAGAATAGATGGGACGGGCACACCCAGGACACAATCGAGTAACGGTATACGCCGTGCACGCGAATTTCTTCTCAAATCCGTCAAGTACTTGATTCCGCAAACGACAACCCGCTTTCACGAAGAACAACCAATTTTGAGGTTCCTGATTCACTCGACAAGTTTAAACTCCAGCACTCAACCTAGACGGGCAGACTTCCATAACAGTGTTGACAATACATACCCCCACCTATGAGCACCGTACGCACAGACGGCACGAACCTGGAACAAGTGCGATCGGGAAAGTACATATTTTGCCTCGTATCGAGTTCGTCCAGGGCACCGGGGTTCGGCTTGTCTGACCCGTTGCTCAGACGGAGGTGACGCTTTAAAACAACTTGGCCTTCCACCCCGGTGAATATATACATAAATTGATCAAACAAAGCAACACTTTAACCACACATTGTACATACGTTTAATATCTATGCACCCCCTGAGCTTGCCGCTGGAAACCTGAGATCGCTCAAGCACTATGCAGAATCTGCGGCTGCCTTGATCAGCGTGTCCGCCAATGGTTGCCAAGAGTTTAGTGCCCTTGCACGCCTCACGAGGGCCTCCGATGCGGCGGCCCGGCGCCCCGCGTCCATCGCCACGACCGCTCTCACCGCTCTCCACACTTGGGTCGCCGATACGGGGTTTTCCACCAGAACCAAGCCCCCTTCCAAAGGAGATGAAGCTCCGTCGTATCGTCCCCTTTCCCTGCTATCTCCACCGTCACCGTAGGCCAGAGGTGGCGTATCACTTCCGCTGACCGATGATCCCGCTACCCGTACTGTGCCTTCTGCGTCGGCTGTTCGTTCTTCGTCCGTTGCCGGGAGCCCGGCGATCTCTCTGATGGGAGGGATGTCGGCGGCGATCACTGGGCACCCGCACGCGAACGCCTCCAGTACGGTCAACCCGAAACCTTCCGCAAGCGAGAGGTGGAGAAGTGCCTTTGCCCCCGCATAGCCTTGGGCCAGTAGATTATCGTCTACAACACCAGGTTCGCTCTCTTCACCCCCCCCTCCTCCTCCTCCTCCTCCTCCTCCTCCTCCTCCTCCTCCCGCTCTATGTCTTGTGTCTGCCGATGTCATCCCCGACCCAACACCGACGTGTGACCATGAACCAACCTCTGCCAGAACTTCGAGTTCGTCTGGCTGGATGGGACCGCCGCCGACCAGGACAAGCGCAAGAGTGCCGCCAGGTGCTGCTGAACCGGAGTTTGCAGCGTCGACGGTTGGAGTGGCTGCGAGGCCGAGCGCTCTATAGGCAGCGCGGGCGTTCTTATATCCGTGCCTCGAGCCGACGATCATCACGTACGGGGTACCCGGCCCCAGGCGCGCCAGTCGTCGAAATGCGTCGCTCTCGTTGGTATTACTGGTGTTGCTCTGATCGCCAGCGGTGTCTGGCACGTGGTTGTGGTCGTTGAACGTCAGCGGGCGATAAACCGCGGTGTCCACGCCGTTGTGTGCCACCCAGACGGACCTTAAAGAGTGGCTGCCGGTCGCGTTGCCGCTAGCTGAGGGCGTCGTGATGTCGGGAGGGTACACACGCAGGAATTCTTTGGCGGTGTGCTGAGATACGGCAACCACGCTGGAAGCTTCGGCGACGGCATTGGCCTTTTGTGACCACTCGCCCTTGGACATGTCCCAACCAAAGGTTTCGGGCAGGACATCGTGGACTAAGAGGAGCCCCACAACGTTGGGTGTTGTAGCCTGTGAGATGGATGTCGGGCGGAGAGGGTTGCACGATAGACATGCGAGGCACAGGCAATGACGTCATTCTTGGAATATTAGCCGCATCCTGTACTACAAGGCGTTCATTCGCTGCCAAGAATAGAGGGCATTGTGTGCAAAAAACTTGAATTTCCCACATTGATTGTTAATAAAAATGGATGTCTCACCCAGAGCGGCTGAGTGTAAAGCGTGCTGACAAACGCTGTCGCCCCCGCTTTCCGCACGGCCCACGAGAGCACCAGCCCATCAGCGACGTAGCCAAAGGACGGGTTGTACAGTGGCAGGTGCTTGGTAGTGAACCGTTCCGAGGGAAGACCGAAAAACGCCTCCTCGATGACTCGGGGAGGCGGGGCCAAACCGCGAAGAAGAAGAGTGAAGCAGGTGCCTTCGAATTCGCTGAGGCGACCCAGAATCTACGGGCCGTGAGGGACGCAGCATCGGGAACATGATAGACGGGCGTTTGAGATGTAAAGAGGCAATGGAGGTGTATTTCGGCGACAGTCACTTTTTTCATTGTGTTATTGAAGAAGTAAGTGCTTTTTTCTAACAAGAAGCGTGCTCTAACATGAGGGTGTGCTGATTCTGCGGCCGATGGCACCTTCGGTCCTACTCACCGCCGGTAGGACGCTTGCCCACACCCGGTTGACCCCCTGCGGCTTAGCGGCATCGACTTGAAACACCACCCCGTCCACCACCAGATGGAAAACCCCACATGTCGCCGCCTCCGCAAATGGCCCGTTCCGATCGTCTCCGCCCCTCCCCCCCGGCCCCGGCAGTAGCCCTCCGCCTGGACCATGCTCCTTCAAACCGGCATGTACTTCGTGTGTTAGAAAGGAGGCTCTGGCTTCCCCCGCACCACTCGCATGATCTTGGATGCCGTTAGTCCTGTCGTGTCGACGTCGGCCGCCTTCCTCTAGCTGGAGGAACGGCTTTAGCGGTACGACCGAGTCGTTGGGGAACGTTTCGAGGTCAGACACTCCAGCAGCACCTGCCGTGAGGCCAACACCTCCCTGCTTGCCCTGGCGGCCATCTTCCACTCTACGGGCTGTCTCGCTTGAGTCTCCTTCTTCTTCTCTCCCGCCGCTGCCGTGCGGCCGAGACCACTGCCCCAGGCTGGAAGTGGAAGAGCCAGTAGGGGGACGGTCAGCGACGGTCGTTAGTAGGCGAGGGTCCTGGGTGCTCCCCTGCACCCGCAGCCACGTCAAGAAGTCGGCGAGAAGGACGGGAGGGGCCGCTCTCTGAAGTGCTCGCCACTCGGAGACGGGGTCTGCCGGCTTCGTTGTTACGTTAGTTAGACTTTCCTCGGTCGCCGCCATGTCCGAGTGCCCGTAGAACTCGTCCTTGAACCGGACCTGGCACACGCACTCGCTGAAATTAGTGTTGAGCCATTGCGGGCCGGATGAAAAGGGGACCACGCGAAATGATGTAGCGATCACCGCAACTGTGGCAATAATGCCTACGAGGACATCCTCTGGACGCGACGGTGTGTACGACAACAAAGGCGATACGATCTTGGGGGTATCAACATGTTTTTGACCCAAGGTAGCACTTCACAGTCGACCTCAAGAAGAGTAGGGAAATCTTGGACGTGGTGACTTCTCCGATAACATTGTCATAGGGAATAGGCAACCACCTCTCGATCTCATTGAATGAATCGCAGTGTATCTCGAGCGTAGTGGGTAGCGAACACCTATCCTCTGTTCAGCATGGTGTGACGTCCTCAAGCAAAAACACTATGCGCACCACGTCGAAAGACAACCCTTATCTTTTCCTCGACCTCAACAATCAAGACCCAGAAAAATGCCAGGACACCCACCTGCTCCTCAAGAACATACGCGTAGTGCGTGAAAACAAGTCCGCGCTTCCTGGTCTCTTCTCGCCCGATGCACTGGTCGCCAGCCAACAACATCCAGCCGGTGGCCTCGTCGTGCCTGGCGAGCTCTGGCGGCGCGTGCTTTAGCCAAACGGACTCGCGCGGTCGAAACACCCAGGCTCGGAGCCACTCGTTGGATGCTGAATGGCCCCAACCGTCTTCCGTGACCGTCACTAGATCTGGGCCGACGAAGAAGTGGCAATCGAAGTAGGCGCACTCCCTTTTTCTGGCCGTCCGGCGGTGTGGCTGGTTCACCTCCTGTTGTTGGCCGCCACGTTGCTGCTGCTCCAGCCGCTTGTGTTCGTCACTCAACGCGTATCTTTCGCTGGAATGGCCAACCACGTTGGCGGTTCCGGAAAATGATTGCTGCTCTTCCTCTTCGCTTCTTGCGGCGTTCCGAACATTCCCCCCACCATCCCCTTTCCGCTCCAGCAAGAACATATCCCGAAGCAGCACCAGCTGCTCGGCCGTCCAGAGCTCGTCAGCATCGACCTGCACCAGCAGGCATTCCTTCTCAAGCGAGAACGCGACAGAGTTGATCATCTGGATTTTGTCGCGCCATAGACATGAAGACCTGGCACTGGCACCATCACCGTATGTGTCACCACCGACATTACCGCCGCCGCCGCCGCCACGCAATCCGGGTGAATCCCGTTCCCGCTCAGCATCGCCAGCGGTAGGAATCCCGGTCGAGAGTCCGGTTGATGCATTGCCGTGGTAGCTGCCCGATCCTCCAGCGGGCCCCTCGGTCGTCCGTTCACTTTTACACCGACGGTGGACGCGAACCCGCCGCTTCCCCCATGAAGCCTTGGCGCCGAAGTCGCTCGCAACAAGGCCGTCAAGATATTCCGTCGTTCCGTCTACGGATAGTCCCGTGATCGGGTCGAAGAATCGATCCGGGATGCGCCGTCGGGAGTACGGACTCCCGTGGTTCGCCCGACCCGCGGCGACGCCTTCCACGACGTTCCACTCCCAGAACGACTCCGGCCGCGGCGGTGGGGGTGGGCCCAAAGGGAGATCACCGTTGGAATCGTCATCGTCTGCGGGAGAACGTGTGCTTCGGGAGGGGTTATGAGCGGTAGACGTGGCGGCTGACGCGGCAGCAGCAGCAGCACGCTCGGAAAGGATTTCGCCGACTCTGTTGAACGTCGGGGCGTGGTGCGTGATGAAAGGCATCGCGTTCAGCGCGAGGGTCATAAAACAGAACGGGAGCTCCACGTCCGCTCCCTGGCTTTCCACCGAAAAAGTCACTCTTTCGGTCGGGGCTTTCCTTGTTGCTGCAACGCCCGCTCGAGGAGAGACATCCGCAATCGATTCTTGCTGTGGTGACGTAGGTCTGACAGCTTCGATATCGTCCTCGCCGCTGGTATCCTTCTCTCTTCCTGCTTCTCTACACGCGGTGGTGGCATTCCCGACGCAGAAACTCACTGTCCTGGTGCTGTGGCGACAACAACGATCAGAGATTGTCGGTTGATACAAAGCAAGGGAAGTTGGACTAGATGGAAACTTTCCTTGGACCTAGACAATCTAGACGAAATGACTGACGTTCCTCGTCCTTGGAAAACGCCTAAAAAGCTAGTCGGTTGCCCTGAGAGTAAAAACTCGTGCGGGTGCGAACAAAATTTCTTGCCGGTGCGAACCAAATTTGCAAACGGCGATGAACGACCCCCGAAGAAATGAAGATGATTCGGCTTACAGGTACGAACCCTTCGTACCTGAAATCCTCGTTCCCGCCTCCGACGCCGCCGCCACTGCCTAAGGGGCAAGAGTAAGGTCTCAAGCTGGGGAACTGATAAACCTCTGCAGTGAGCAGGTGCCAGCCGAGCCCGACATCATGCAGCTGTCCTCTCGGTAAGCAGTGTGCCGCTTTAAAGTGCTCCAGGTGACTGCAAACGATTGTGCCCAGGTTATCGTCGATGACATCGCCGACGTCATATCCTCTGCCCCACTGCACATATACTTCCGACCCAAGGCCACCGACAACGCCGTCGCCACCGATTGCGACGGTTTCGAAGAGGGACCCCGCAGACGGCAATCCTGGATCCAGGAGGGTCAGATCGAACTCCACCTGGATCGAGTCCTCCGGGGAAAATACTTGGCCCGGTCTCGGATGCGTGATAGTCCACTCACAGCTGTCTCGTTGCCGCTGCGCGTGTGGCCTCGAACCAACAGAGTCTCCAACTGCTGCCTCGCCTCGGTACCCTTGGCGGTAGTAACGGTCGCCAGGAGGAGGAGGCGAGGACGGCGACGCCCCCGGCGACAGATTCCGCGGAGCTCCTGCTATGGGGGTTTCACGTCTGCGCGTTTTTTCCCGCTCCACTTGGAGGAGACGGCGAGACATTCTCCCGAGGCCGCGGAGAGCTGCCTGGTCTCGGTGACCGCCGAGGAGGATAGCTCTCTGGTAGAGCCTCAGCGCCGACGTAAGCTGCCCTTTTCCTTCCAGCGCCTTGCCCAGCGCCGTGAGAATGTTCGTGAGCTCGTCGATCTTTCCGACCTCGTAGTAATCCCCAGTTATTGTATTTCCGCCACCGTCGCGGCCGTCTTCGTTGTTTCCACCTGGCGATGACTTGGTTCCGGCCTCTTCTTCTTCGGCCGTATTCTCCGCCGTCGTTGCAATCTCTCCAGACTTTGACGATGGCGTGGACGACGAAGAAGGTCTCGACGGTGTTACCTTGTTGCCCGGACCGGCGGCATCTTGTCGATCCGCAGCTCCACGCAGGCCCTCAACAAGAAAAAAAGTTTCCGCGAGCACGTCTGTAGTTTCAGATGCGCGGTTCCCCGCGAACGACGCAATATTTACGACCGCTGCTAAGAAAACATCGAGTGGGACCACTTCTGCAGCGCCAGGGGGTACGATGCCAACACCCGATTGCACAGGCAAGCGGTGACTACTGCGAGCTGATGGGGGTGCCACTTTCTGCGCGCCGCTAGATAGCGCGAGAATGCGCTCCATATTGTTCCAGGCAACTCCCCACTCGCCGCTCTGCGCCATGGCGGCCCCCTGATAGAGAAGAGTTGTGCTATCGGACGGCCATTCTTGCAAGATCTGGCGGCACAGCTCAAGGGTGCCGGCAACGTTGCCCGTGAGCAGATCATCCATGGCGCGGGCACGGGCGCGCTTCAAGGCGCGAAGGGTCGGAAACATTCTGCCACCACCGGTGCTGTCGCTGCCCGTGTCGCCGCCACTGATGCCGCTGTTGGTGTGAGCTGGTGGCATGCTTTGTGTTTGTCGTGTGGTGGGCGAGTCCGGCACCGGCGGACGTAGTGGGTACACTCGGCCGCTCTTTCTGGCCTCGGCTACCCACTCCGCCAGAGAATCCCTCTTCCGGAATTGTCGATCAACGGTAAGACCGCGGTTTCCGCCGAAACTACCCTCCTCGTCCGGGACGTTGCCAGGACTACCCCTACCGACAGCACCGTTGCACGCGTCATCCGTCGTCGGCTTGAGGAAGTGCCCGGCGCAACTCCTGGGGCCCATGGCACTGACAGGCGGCCGTGGTCGCGACGACACGGGCGAAGAAGATGACGACTGACTTGACGAAGGCCTCGACAGCGAGGGAGGTCCTGGGGTGTTTTCGGAGTGTTTTGTGCCACAGGTGTGGTCAAGAAGGACTGGATGGCCGTCTGGATGGTCACGGGTCTGGTCTTCGCCTGCAATGTCCCGCGGGCCGTGCACCTCAGGTGGATGCACTCGAAGACCTTCAATGCTGTTTTTCGTTGAAGGCTTAACGCAATCCATGACGATCGATACCGCTCCCCTTGGGTCTCCACCAGCAACGCTCCTCTTGATGACCCCCCAACGGTCATTTCGCCCGTGTTGCTGCTCATCCATGTATCCGCCATTCGTCTCTGCTGCAGCTTCGTTTGTCGCCACCGATGATGGCGATGCTCGGGACGATATGGAGTGAACACGGCCGCCGGAACGGCCTCCGCCACCAACAATACTTCCGCCTTCAACAAGGATGGGCGTCAGTCCCGCGCTCCAGCAGACGTTGGCCAGGAGCTCGGGAGTATACTGCACGAGGTGGCCGTCCCTGGCGTCCGCTTCGAGCATGTCCCGGTTGAGCCAACCCGGCAGCTCAAGATTTCTTCCTCCACTCCGTGCACCGTCTCGTCCTCGGGTTGCTTCGCCGGACACTGCCTCTTCGCCTATCCCGTGATGCGTACCAGCGACGACTTGGTCCTCGTCGTCGCGACTAGTGGGAAGGTCCCCACCGTTCTCGATGTCGGCGGCACGCATGGCACCCGGGGTCTGGGTAGGCCAATCGGCAGACCTCTCTCCTGTGGTGATATCCTCATGACGGCGTGAAACAGAAGGAGTGCGTGCAGACGTGGTCCGATACCACGCCGGATCAGGCACCGCGAGCCGAAGGCGCCCCCCCGGGCGAAGGTATCGTTGGCAGTTTCTGGTGGCACGATGAGCGTCATCCAGGGACAAGTGCTCCCACACGTGCTCCGCTAGAAATGAGTCCGCCAGGCCTTCTGGTCCGAGCACGTACCTGTCACAGCAACAAGGCGAAAGCAACCATGGAAAAACTACCTGGAGATATAGGCTTCCGTCCAGCCATCCCATTGATATTTCGCATTGTGAGAGTAAATAGTGAAGAACTAACCTGTTGGGTGTGAGGGAAATATAGACTTATTCGATCATACTTTGGTCTACACCCTCTCAGCGGCAGCCGATGAAGCATTATCAAATAGTTCCACCCATGGCTACACCGTGTTTGGTCTTGTCTTACTCGAAGTCGAAGGGGTCCGTCACATCCAGAGTGTTGACGTCTGTCACAAGCCAGCCGGCGTTAGAGGAAAAAATCTCATCACCACCGCTGCTGCCCCCTTCTCCGTCTCCTCCTCCTCTAGTTGCCCCGAGAATGATGTTCAAATGACCTGTCTTGGATGCCACTTCGATTGCCTCCGCTCGCTTGAGGCTACGCCGCACCTGCATCAGCAGCCACACTACAATAAGCCAGAGTGCTGGTGTAATACTCAAGAGATGGAAACCCTACAGTCAACGCCGCCCATCCAGGACCGTGCCTGCACGAAAAGTAGTGCCGGTGTGAAAAATACACCTGCTGAAAATCCTGAGGTGAAAGATTGCAGACAGCTCCCTTGCACGCATTCATGGAGGCACGTGGTGACAGGCTCCGACGGCCAATAGCATGCGCAGCCAGCCTTTTCAAGTCGTGCTTGGTTAGCCCTTACAGCTTAGTCATATATAAAAGCAATATTGCCGTTGTGCCAGCTCTGCACAGAGCATGTTCGAACACGGCATGGTATTCCATGTGATCACCGGAATGTACATCCAACATCGCCTCCGTGATATGCACTTGCTTCCGTTCGACGACATCGATATCATTCAAAGAAGCAAGCACCATCTGGTGAGACCAGCATATCTACCGTGTACCTCGATCAGCCCCTTCACCGACACACAGCAGTTGCACCGCTCATGGGGGCAAAAACTCCCCGAAGTATGCAAGTCTCAAACACTACTTCCGGACACAGCAACCTCCACGCCCACCTCTCGACAGCCCTCCCTTACCTCCCGCTCGGCGAGCTCTTCCTCTATCTTCCGGGTGACCCATCGGACCACTCGCTCCCCTTCTGCTCTTGCTGCCGCTCCTTGAACGCCTTGTTCTACACCATCCTCGTCCAGTACTCTGTCCTCTCCCCGAAACACCTTCGGAGCGGTTCCTCTTTCCCGAACGTCCAAACCCAGCCGTGATGTCACAAACTCAGTCGCGACGGAGGCTGGGGAGTCACCTTCTCGTAGCTCAATCGGCCACTCCACGTCCTGCTCTTCTTCTTCCGGCTGCTGGAGATGGCCCCGCTCGTTCTGCCGGCCGCCGTCGTCGCCGTCGCTGTCGTCGGTCCCCGCCCCCGCCGCCGCTTTTGCCCCTTCGCTCCCGACGAACTTTACGATCAAAGACGTTTGGAGCATGAGGCGTTTTCGCTCTCGGGGGAACAGGGAAGACGTCAACACGTACTGAAGATCGCTGCTCCGGTCGACACCATGTCCAATATTTCCGACCTCTAAACCCAATGGTTCGAGAGTATACGCGCACACCCGGCAAAGCATGCCGCCGTGTTCTTCGCCTGCTGCGTTTGTTCGTCCCCGGAGGGGCGGTTGTTTCTCGGACCCATCGCATGCCCCATCGGCGCCGCGTCGGCCACCACCACCACCACCACCACCACTGCCACCACTGCCACTATCCCCTGGCTGGGAATCCTCCGCTGATGTCGTTTGGCGGCCATGCAACACGAAGGTTTTTGGCGTGCCGGAAGAGACTTCTGCGCAACTCGTGCTGCTGCTGTTGCTGTCCCTGGTGCCAGCAGACGGCGCTTTCACCCCCCATGCCAAAACGGAGTGCTCCCCCGGACACAGACCGAGAGGTACGAGGGGTCGGCGCGTGGCAAATCGGGGCGGCCCCTGCAGCACGAGCATGAAACAACATTTCCACCTCGGGTATCAGGTTCATGTCGTATGCGGCAAGGGCTGTATGCCCGCCATTCAAACGTATGCGTGTGGGATCACATTTCCAACAACCGATTCATCGTAGGCCGTCGACTGCAGGTGTGCGGAACGTGAGCGAAGCACGTCTACGGCCGCTGTGTTTGTTACCGGCGTCGCATGGAGCGGAGAGTTTACACCTGGAACGGTTTCGAAACGCAAAAGTATAACGAAATAAGCACACGTCCGCCCGGGCATCTGAGAGTCGTCGTGGGTTGCGACAAAAGTTCAAGAACGCAATGGTATAATGTTCAGGCCGGTCGTCCTCACCGGTATGTAAGATGATGAGTACATCGCTATTGTCGCGAGTATTCCGAGGGCCCAGGCGGACATTGTCGGGGAATTGAACAGACCAATATGTCCCCCCGATCCAGGTTGCTGGGGTTCAGGATAATTGTCCCCTGACCCCTAGGGCGAACACCTCATCTTGGAGGTTGCCCGATCATCACCCAGGCGTTTACTTGACGCCGCCCTCGAAGCGAAAGATCAATTGAGCTAAATCGTTGTGCTTTTGCCCACCAAGTGTATGTAGTACCTTTGGGTGCTGAACCTGATATGCTGGTATCGATCTTGTGAGGATGCTACGTGACTGCTGTTGGATATCACGAACTTGCCTTCTAGAGCCGTGACACGCTGCTTGACTGATCTACGGATATCGGCTCGATATAGGCTATTATGTCTGATTAATAGGGAGCCTTAAACCGTGTCTGCTACAATAAGAAACGATCGAGCGCTGTCGCCAACTCTCCGATGCTTTCGGCACCTCCCGAATCAGCCCGTTGTAACTTTCTGCATGAATTAAATGTTCGGGGTACCTCTTTCCAAATTTGTCGGAGATCGACAACTCGCAACAGAAAATGTGGTGAACTTTTTCTTCATCGGCCACTGGGTGGGATCCGGTCCTTTGCGGCCTCAAGCCCTGTGGACACATCCAAGTCGAGAAGCGTGAAACCGCAAAAATAATACATATTTAGTAGATAGTGCATTGTGCTGTAAACCATGGTTTCGCGCCTTCATTGTGCCTATTTTGCCACACGTTCCTGATTTCCCTCACCAATATCCCACCTGCCATAGCCTCACGGCACCCGAATCGAAGTCGGCGAGAATCCGGTAGTCGTCGGAGAGCCCGTTTCCTCCTCCGCTTTCTCCGCCATCATCCCCAGGCCTTTGACCTCCTAACAACATCATATCAAGCGCCACGCTTGCAACGCTGTCCTTTACCACGTCGTCTGTTTTGTCGGTGGTGGCGGACCAAAGAATGGGCCTTAAACTGAGCTCGATCTGGGCGGGCTGCTGCTTTCGTGGTGGAGGTTGTGGCCCTGATCCCGGTGGCCTTGTCGCGGTGCTGGTGTTTCCAGGCCTGACAAAAGAATGCTGCTGTCGATGAGGTTGCTTCGGATCCAAGTGTCGATCGTGTTGCTGTAGCTGCAGGTGTGCTGAATGCTCGTCTACCGGTGTTCCTGCTGTTGCTGCTATCCATGATAAAGTCAGCGCGGTGGTGAGAATTGCAAGGAACGGTTGGTTATCTCGGCACATTGAGCAAGTAGTATGCTTGGGAACTTTCCGCAGAGAAAGGCACATGGCACATAAGTACGCGAGAAAAACGTGTGTTTTCGACTATCATCACGGTTTTCGCATGCTTCGTTGCGCCGATGGCACACCGTACGATCGGTTTGGCGAGTACTGCTGTGACTGCTTACAGCATTTCCAAGTTTTCCTCCAAATTCCATCGATGCAACATCTCGTACCTGCTGCTGCGGCGGCCGCGGTTGTGCCTACGCTCAGGATTGGCATGGTCAAACCTCCAGCCACCAATACCCTCCCCACCATCACCACCACCAACGCCTTTCGGGCAATAAGAAATGCTTGGACGACCGCCGTCCAATAGAAGCAACGAGAAGGCAGAGGTGAAAGATCTCCGCAAGCTCTGTCTTCTGTTGTAGTGTCATCGCGCGGGCTCTCACATCTGGCTTCGGGGCTACAAGCTTTTTGTCGTCCTCCCTTATCACCACCACCCCCTGTGGGGGGAGCCCAATGACGGGGTCTTGACTCCTCGGTGCTTGGCGTCAGTGTTTTGTCTTTATTACGACACGGTGTTGGAGAAGCTGCCCGTTTGGTGCCGTTGCCCTTGTGCCTGTCACGGCCGTGTGACCGATCCTTTCCCATGGCAGTGATCTTTCTTCGGCCAAGATATATTTGCCTTTGATTCCAAGGATCTCAGCGGATTTGAGGCTCACGAGGCAAGATCAGCTTATGTATGAGTATGATTTGTTAATGGGCTACGAAGAACGCTGTGAAAACTGTGCGTATGGGCCTGCGGGCCAAGGCCAAAGCCAGAGAGGGGCGGATACCGGATGCGGTGGGAAAGCTGACGTTTCGGGAGAATAGACAGGGGGTAAACACGTGATTCCGCCGCACTACTATAATACTGTACCTGTGTGCCCACGTGCCCACACATCACTTACAGCTACAGCTTACAACGAAGAAGCTACCCGTTTGACACACAATCCGTTCGACGGGATGCATTCAAGTTTTTACAGTGAGGGTTGAGGGATACCTACTGGGTGCTGGGCAACTTACATTTTAATGTTCACCACGTAGAGACTGCCTGGCCGACCGGCCAACCACCCCAAAAGGTGCACATTGCGAACAATGTCCGCACACGTCGGACTACACATATCTCATGCATCCTTACCTACGTACTGTAGTCACCCGTGACAACTATCAAGGGTGCAGGCCCTACAACTGCATGCACGCAATAGTCTACGCGCTGAAGACACCAGGAAGGTTGGAGTTTCATCGACATTGCATTTTCTGTGTTCGTCTACTGTATAACTCTCTGTCAGCAGCAACGAACAACGAACGGTAGAAAGCAGCTGTCGCGGAGCGATCACACACGGTTTACGCGAACCACCTATCCGTGCGAAAAGAAGATAATTCAGTGCCTGGGCTTGCACCGTTGGGCATGTTCTCTTTGTTTGGTATATTTTCTCAAGTCGACACACAGTTTTTACCGTCACGAAACGCGCGGTTTTGGAACGCAGCGTCTGACCAGTTCCCTTGCGATGCCAGCTCTGCGCGGGTCTATGTAGAGAAGTAGTACGAACGTCGAGAACGCGCAGAAAGAGCGACAGACAAAAAATTGTGTCCCTTGCTCTTTTTCATTGCCTTCTGAGAGAGATAACTCATGCACCTCAAGGTGTTTATTGTACATTTTCGATTCTATGTTTCCAAAAACCACGCACGTGTCTCCCTTTTTTTTTCTGCTGTCGACTGACTCCTTCATCACAACACACTCACCACCGTACGGTAGAGAACGATGCCGAACAGGTAGACAGGACCGACCGTCAACACCAACCCCCTGACCCGGCTGCTCGGTGACAACCACACAGCGCACGCACGGGGCACCAACCAGAAAAAGGGCGAGGAGGGGAAGGTCAAACGTCACGCCATTGAAGCACAGGGGTCCTATTGTACTTATTACATGATGAACCGGCAACGTGTTTTGAGAATATGTACACATTATTACATGATAATACCGGCAACGTGTTTTGAGAATATGGAAGCCTTCGGGGACAGTCAATGTAAGTAGGGGGTGATCGGAACAATCCCCTCAACCACGGAGGGGCGGAGGGGTGAGCTGCAACTAAACGGCAACACTGGCGGGTGTGGCATGCAAAACTTCCACAGCGAAACCAACCGTCCAAGTGTACGTGCTCAACTTTACATAATAATTATGTGGGGTGGTCGAGTCAAGCTCGGCCACGAGTCCAGTGCTGTGCGAGAAAGTGGCGTTGCTCATATTTGGGCCAACCGTTAAGCTAGACTTCGAGATATACGGCGACCCTGCGCCTGCCCCTCCCATCCCCCCCAAGCGTACAGTGCGAGCAAGCGCACCATGCGTGTCCAGACTAGGGTCTGTGCACAGTCTCACGTGTAGTGCTCGTCGTCGCGCAAGCAGCAGATAGATGCCGAAGGTGGAGCTGAGGAGGCCATTGACGACGTCCATGACGCCGCGAGCCTCGCCGAAGCGGCTCCTGGGCTGCAACCCGTAGCGATCACCAGGCTCTTGGGTGCGTGGTAGCGGTATACCCATAATCGTGCAAGCAGGGTGATGACTACCTACAGAGGTTTCACGAGGGTCAGTCATGGAAAAGTATCAGATGTGCAGAGACTAAACAATAGTGGATGGGGTGCTTCGGTGATTTTTTGTGGGAGAGGCGGGTAGCGGAGAAAGAGGGGGAGGGAGAGAGGAAACAGGTTCTTTGATCTGATGTGGAGGGTTGAGAAAAGCGGCTGGGTTGAATCGATACATGTTCCCCCTTTCCTTCTCATATGGAGTGCGTCCACACACAAGGTGTGGAACGCGAACTCCAACGATATCCTTGAAAATATTCCTTTTCGCCGAATCTCTTCAGGTGATATTGCGAGCGCGCATACGGCGCATACACTCATATGTAGAAACGGTCGAGTCCGGCGCCCTCACCCTCACCCTCGTCTGGGCCCACATCTGTGATGCATGCCGTAAACCCCCGCAGCCCCCCCTGCTATCCCATCCTCTAGTTCTCCACACGGCTGCTTCTTTCACGAGGACGCGCCCGATTGCCCGGTTGTTTTGCTGTGCTGTTGTTACGGTTAATTCGTGCACCCTTAGTGTGTCCGTGCCGACAGGTTCGTTGCGGCGGCAATGTGTCAAAACTGGTCATCATGCGGCCATTGGTCACTCCCGACCCAACAGGTTCGTCGGGAGCAATGGCCGTCGGTTGGGTGTTACGCAAACCGATTCGTCTTCGGCGGGTGTTAGGTTCCAGTTAATTTCGATGTACGCGTTGCACAACAGAAAATGCAACGAGCCGCGCAGACGTCGCTATTTTGTCCTACTACTGTGGTTTAGGGGTTTCGACGATAATCGAACAATGGAACATCACAAAAACACAACAAAGATACCAAAAATCGGTGGTTCATTCGCATCCAATTCTCATCTAAACCACACCAGCCGCCCCACCAAATATGTACAGAAGCCGCCATCTGTTGACCTGCTTTTTTGTCCCAGCGCCGGCCCGCATATTCGTTCGTTTCGCCTTTTGGATAATGACGTATTGCGTTTCGTTTGGGGCTGTCATAACCAAAATCGAGGGCGTACTACGCACTCTCTCCGTATCGAATAATTTGCTTGCGCTAAATTGCTGCCTCCCGAGAATGTTGCGTATACTCAATACTTACCGCGTATTCTGGAAACGACCAATTGAACGGGGCGGATACAATCGCCAAAACACTTTGCATGTATACTATGCCAACCACTTTTTCTCTCTTCTCCTACTTGACATCCCCTCTCTTCCATTCCCGACCCTACTCCACAGCGGTATCTAATTCGCTGGCCAGATCACAAGCCGTCTCCGTCTTCATCCTCCTCCTCCTCCTCCTCCATCTGCTGCAACGACCCAGCGCCATTCCCTGTCCCCTGCTTATCCGAGGAGGATTCACCACCACCATCACCATCACCACCATCGGCATCATCGTCGTCCTCGGCGTCGTCCACGATCAGCATAAAGCTCTCCTTGAACAGCGCAGCGGCGATGCCAACCTGAAACAACAACATTAAGAACGGTGGAAAGCAGTGTCAACACCGGCAGCAGCAATTTTCGCGTACTTGATCCTACACGGAACGAAGTCAATGCGAAGACGACCGTTGCCGAACAACAACGAACGGGTACCCCAGTCTCCGGAGATACGTGCAGCATGCATCCGACATCGCGGGTGTGGGAAACAAACCGCAAGGGGCGGGGGTCGATGGAATCTCGAAACACCATTAGGGGTTCTGAAGCCAACGCGTCATGTAACCACAGTGCTGAAACCGGAGCTGGCGCAAGCATGGGCTTAGGTTCGGAAAAACACATCTTCGCTGCGTAGCGCGTTAATCAGTATTGCCAGCAGAAAAACCATTATATTCTCTTTAGCTCTCCTTCGCGTTAGCCTTATGGTGGAAGATACGGCACTCTGTCGTACTTGAACACCGTCGAGTGATTCGTTCCCCTCAATCTCAGTCTGTCGACTAGGACTTTACTGCAATTGCCATGGCATCGACTACATATTGTAGTGGGGTCCGTCGCAGGATGCGGTGGCTACGGCAAAATCGCCAGGACAGCCCCCTCTACTGTACCACGACGACGGCATCCTGCTTGTTCGCAGAGGCCAGAGCGTCAAAACACGACCATGGTGACCGCGATGGTAACACGCAATGACCTCACTTTGCGAGAAGGACATCGTGCATTACGCTTTCGAACGAAGAGGCTCGAGGAAACACAAAAGGATACGCACATGGTGTACGCGAAAACACAAGAGCACCTTGTCGCAAGGAATCCACCATTTGAAAACGAAACCATCCCTCTCCCGCCGCAATCGAAACCCCTTCCTGGCTGCTTGCTTTTTCGCGCACTGTGCCGAGCGGAGGTCTACGGCGGAGAACTACATAGTATTGGCTTCGAGACAGCATACCGCACACGTATATAGCATAGTGGAGGGGTCTTCACGATGGTGACACTCCAAACATACCAGATAAAGACTGGCATGTACTCGTAGGATTTCCCCATGCATTATTGGGGTGTCGGGACGTACAATCCGCACTAAAAATCAGCGCAAGGTGTTGACCAATCAGCGTCAGCCATCGATCCGTCAAGGATACCGGTGCAGCAGGTGCCTGAACAGTTTTTCGAAAGATCCACCATGCACCGCTATCACAAACCACAAATCGCACCCCCTTCGACCGTATTTATACATCTCAGAACGGGTAATCTTTCTTAGAGATTGCATGTAGACATATTCTCAAAAAAATTACCTTGTCCTCGAGGTCCTCGGTGGGGGGGTGCGGCAGGTCCGACACCGTCACGGGGCGAGGGTACGCCGACAACAGCACCTCCAGCGCCGGCGCGTCGTCCAGCTCGAACTGCAGAGGACTACATCGTTGTTACGGTGGCGCGTGCGGGGGTGGGGGACGGGCGCGAAACAGGTTTAGGACAGGACCGACGGGTATCACGTGATGTATAGCCCGGGTTGAGGGCGTGTCGCCCAGACGACTACAAGGAAGAGGAAATCACGAGCGGGGGACTGTCTGATGGGATCTACAAATTGGCGGGGGGGTTCACGAGGGCTACCCCTATTTGCACGACGCGCGTGCGTGCAAATAAGACGTGCACGCTTCGAAACGCCTCCGTGGATGGGTTGAAACTGGGCACACACGTGACCGACCCAACCCAACCCACCCAACCCAACCCTAACCCTAACCCTCACGGACGTCCAACTGGGGCCGTGGTGGCGAGACTGGCCACGAACGCGGCTGCGCCACGTTCGTGGTCCGCACGTCAGAACGTGGTCCGCACGCTGCGCGCGCTGTTTTGACCAATCACAAGTCGAGTCGTGCACGGTCTTATTTGCACTCGCGTGGTGCAAATAGGGGTTGCCGGTTCACGAGTTGGTGAGAGGGGGCGTACTTGTTGTGACCAACGGTTAGCCGCATGTGGATCGGTCACCATCAACAGAGACCCCGCGTGTCCTTCAAGTGCCCGGCTGGACAAGTCGAGGCTTCGACAATCAGGCAGGCTGTCTTGGCGATGAGGTACGTAGAAGACGCATGCCAGCGGCGGAAAACGTTTCAATCTACAATACAACGAAAACAACGAAACGAGGAGCAAGCCCATCCCTTGGGGGTCAGAGCGGGTTCTGGAAGAGGTTCTTCACCTCATGGCGTTGCCGTGATGCACCCTGGAGTTGTCCATGCAGTGGTAAACTACCGCAACGCCGTCTTCGAGCACCAGCCTTGCGCACCCTCTCCTCGCCAGGCGAAGCTTAAAAAAAAACATGCGAAACAAACGTAGAAAACCGAGAAGCTAAGCACAGATCAAGCACATGCACGCAGACAAGCAAACGGAGCAGCAACGAAGCCCTGACAAAGAAACGACACGTGAAAAATCAGTAAAAAAAACAGGAGCTCTTAACACTGATCAAGTGCATGCAGGCAAACCGGCAAGCAGAAGCAGAAACGCCACGTCAGACAGCGACACGACCAACAGCAGACAAAACCCAAAAACCAAGCAGTAACTGTAAACAGGCGCCACTTACTTCAGAGAGACACACGACCCGCACCAGAAAATGGGCCAGGCAGAAAAAAAAGCAAAGTGAAGCAACCACCGCGGTCAAAGCAGCACCGACGAACGGTGAGCCCACAACGGGAACGCCGGCCTGATCGACACCGTAGCGAGCCACCGTCTTCCACGCTACGAATAACAACGCCTTCCGAACAACCCATCCCACATTAACAGGGCTATGTAACACCGTCCCTGAGCAGTAGACAACTGTCGGGCAGAGGCCAGCACCGACACTTCAAACGTGACTGACTCACCTTGGTGAGGGGAGTGATAGCCCCGTCCCCTCTCTCTACCACTGACGAAAGCTCCTCGCTCTCTTCCAACACCGGGGGCAGGCGGTCCGAAATGTACCTGTTTTTTGTTTCGGGGGAGGAGGGAGGGCAAAGCACAGAGTATTACTTGCAGATGGTGTGAAAAATATGGTACTATACTTTATTAGTTGGTGGTACAGTATAGAGTAGTAAGCAACGTGTCAGAAGTGTGATTTTCTGGGCGCGCGCCGGGGGGGGGGGGCTGCAGGTTGATATTACCCAACACAATGAGACGCTTTTGATGGAGGTGAAGGGGGAGGTAGTGGTACACGAAAGTACCTGACCCCTGCGCATCACATCATCTTCCTCACTCGTCAATGGCACACAAAACGAGTTTGAGAGGTCACAAACCAACCGCCAAAAATGTGCTAACACGTAAGTGTCTGACCCTTGCGCATCACATCATCTTCCCAACTACAAACAGGTTCGAGAGGTCACAAGCCAACCCCCAAGAGGTACAACCAACACGAGGGAAACATTCGTGGGTGAGTCCCACCACTCGCCAAACAATCAGCAGCACGCAGAGAAAGATCCCAAAAAGGCAGACAGGGCACAAAATAGTGCTGTATGTTGGTATGTCGGTTCGAAAGTTTCGACGTATATAGACCATCGTCCGAGATATCGAACGCCGCGTGGCCACATCGTTCGAAGCGGGGAATACCCCGCACGCAACAGGTAAAAAAACGCACCGAACGTAGAACTAAGGAAACTCTTTTTGGTGAATCCAACCGCTCGGAAGGGTTTACGTGCGATCCGCCAATCAGCAGCACGCAGACACCAAAGAGGAAAGACGCGGCACGCAACAAACACACAGAACAAATCGATGCACGAAGTCTCGTCTCTGATGCCTATACGTACCTCTTTCCCATTTGATCCGCCGCCGCGTCTAAGAGCTCGATAGCCTCCTCGACGATAAGCCCGAGCTTTTTCCTCATCTTGGCCTTGAACATGTCTCTGCGTTTGTCCTCCTGGAAGGTCAAAAATTAAGTGAGATATGGTTCTTACATAATTGGGCGCCGGTTTCTCAGATCGAACCTTCGGGGTCCCCGCGAGCTACTGTATGAGCTCGCCAATGTTACACCTCACCTCATCACTTTGAACAGCGCCCATGCATTCCAAAAACAAAGACTTAAGCTCATCGAAATATGATATCTCATCTCATTACTGTGAACATCGCTCATGTATTCCAAGAACAAATGCTTATATTTAGCCCATCTACATGTGATACCTTACCTCATTACTGTAAACAACGCCCATGCATTCCAAGACTTAGTTCATCTACAAATGATATCTCGCTGTCAACAACGCCCATGTATTCCAAGGGCACAGACGATACCTGACCTCCTCACGGTGAACCACGCCCATGTACTCCAAGACTTCGCTCATCTCCACAAGATATCTCACTGTCAAGAACGCTCATGTATTCCAAGGACGCAGACATGCGATACCTCACCTCATCACTGTGAACAACGCCCATGTATTCCAAGTAATCCCGAGGGAGACCGGACCGCAGCTCTTGGTTTGCCTGGACAGCGCTGGCGACGGCCTGAGGCACCAGTCCTTCAACCAAATCCGCCCAGCTGCGGGAGGCGTACACACAGACACGAGACAACAAGCTAAATACGTGCAAAATGGACACAGAAGCTTAGCCAAAAGTGAAAAAGTGCAAGCCAAACATGAAGTAACAGCGGAAGCAAGTAAGGCTAGCCACAAAAAGCAGACCAAAAAGAACTAGATGGGGTGCAACCTTAGTCGAAAACGAAATGTGAGCGCGAACCAAGCAAGAAAGACAAACGGCGTTAGAATCAGAGGAGAAAGACGAGGGTGCACTGAAACAAATACCCCAAAATATCAAACCACAAGAGGCTTGCCAAAAACGTTTTTTCATCACCGGGGGGTATTGTGCTGTGTGACGGCTACGTTTGACCAACGCAAACACTAGCATTGACGTTTATCTTCACGCCCCACAAACAACAAAGGCATGAAAACAAAACAAAACACGAGCGCGATTCAACGCCAAAAGACCCCGCACGCACACACTGCCCCCAGCCTTGCGGCGACGCGCCTCCCTCACCAGTTTCCCTGCATGGCGGACACGGTGATGTGAAGCGAGGCCTCGTCTCCCACGGTCTCCGCCTGGTGCGCCCACCCCCTGCAGAAAAGAAGGTCAACGATGATGGTGTAGGGTACTTTGCGTCCGCGCATACAACACAAGGGTTTCCTCTTCCTCGGTACGTTTCGGGGGAGGGGCATGAGAGGAGGTTGATGGCGGTTGGGAGCACAACTTGTAAACACTCCGACAACACCCATTCCCGAACCACTAAGACTGAATACATCACAAAATGAGCAGTGGACGGGGCGCAGAATGTAGGCAATCGTTCGTTCACCACAAGCGGGACAAACAGCGTCTAGAGGGCGGTTGGTTTTCGCGCACAGAAAAATAACGGTTGGTCGTTAGCACGAACAATGGCACCCCCGAACGCTTCGTGAGTTCAAAAGCGAGTGCAAGCACCACACGGGTAGCCGTCTGTATCACCTGGTGAGGGGCTCTTCATTTTGTAAAGGGAACAGGACGGGAAGGTACGGTAGGAAGGCGCTCGGAGGTGCCCCCTCCCATGGCGCAATAGGACAGGAACGAGTGCCGCAAAAAGATGACGGCAAGACTGCAATCACGAAAAAAATACAAAAGTGGCGTTAACTGTCACGAGATTAAAAAAAAATCGGGTGAAGCCTAGTGCCCATAAACTGCTGTACACCTCCCTCAATTCCAAAGCCCTGACCCCCCCCCCATCGGGCTGAAAAACTAGCAACCCCCCCCCCCCCCCCCAAAAAATTAATTCCCCCCCCCCAAAAAAAAAAAAATACCCGGCCCCCCCACCCCCCCCCGGGGCGGGTCCCCCCCCCGGGGGGGTTTGGGGAAAGGGATTTCCCCCCCAAAGGGGGAAAAA